TTAATAAACTCTTAATTTATCCAAAATATCTTATATTTTTGGACGGAAAAATTCATCCAAAAGTGTCCTGTAATTTGAGACAAAAAGAGTAGTATACTTTCTTTAATTCTATTTAAAACACAAAGACAAATAAATTTTTGCATTCTCTTTATAAATTATATCATTAAATTTTTATCATAAATTTTTTATTTTATCCATTAAATTATTATCATAAACTTTTTCTTTTTATGGCCTATTAATGAGTTTTAACATTTTTTTTAATTTTGGCAAAGCATGTTGACTTATAAATAAAATTAAAGATATCAGAGTAGATGTGGTGCTTATTTACGGGGTAAAAACAGTAATAGTAGAAAGAAAACTAAAAACACCTGCCAATAAAGATAAAAGAATTGTGAAAAATGGTTAATGGATGAGATGCAGAAGTTGTTGTCAAGGTGACATAATAATGACACTGAAACGTCATTAATAGGGCGGAGGTTGGAGGAGGACGATGCGGACGATGCCGCTAAATCCAACGTTAATTGCTTTCACTTCACGCCAAAGTCCACGCTCCACCAAGGTGTGGGAATTGGGAAGGGTTCGCCCAGGTTAATTCCCAAAACATTCTCTTCATATTATAAAGGATTAAGATAAAATGTTGCATCTAAACTATTTATTAAGAAGTAATATTACCCTTAAATTATTTAACCTAGCAACGTAACTCTTAAATTAATTAAACTGAAGTAATGTTGCTTTCTTCGTTTAAGACCCAAAAAACTTCGGTTATATAAGTGGATCCCATTTCTCTTGCACATGTGGCCCAAAAGTTGCCAAGACATTGCCTTTGACTAATGTTCTCTCTCCTTCTATAACCACATCGAGGAAATCATGTTCATCTGAGAAACAACCAGAATTCTCTTTTTTTTTTTTTTTACTATTTGCTCTTTTAATTTACTGCATCAATTTTAGAAGGGGGAAAAAGATTTAGAAAGAAAGAATACCATCTGGGTAAGATGAGGTTTTATCCCATTTGGATATGCAAACAGTTGAGTCGCATCCAAGAGATGAAACGACAAGAAAATCTTTGTGATCTGTTGGTAGCATTTACCTTGAGCGTGTCACTAGCATTGCAACATTTACCTTGTTGCTGTTGAAGCAATTGCAGCGATTCCGATCGCATTTAGTCGCCGGTGGTTGCTTCTCATTCATCTCTTCAATGAAAGCGAGCTCGGCTTGAACTCCGATCCTCCTGCACCTCTGTTGAACGGGTATTTTGCTCATCAACCTTCATGTCAAATATATCAAGTGAAATTAGGATCTCGATCGCTTTCGTTGTTTTATTGAATAAGTTGCCTCCTTTTTTTTTTTCGCGTTTTAGTTTCCTGGTAAGCAAGTGTTCTCTTCTCGACTGATTCACGTATGACAATATTAAATCATTTAGTTAAGTTGGCAATTAAAGAGTTGCTAGGGTATTCATTGAATCATTTTGTAAAATAAATGCATAAAATAGAACCTATTCCATTGTTGTCAAGCTCTCAAATTGATTTTATGAGTTTATCGATTTTATGTTTCTAGTTTATAAAATCATGTTAACCCACTTATAAACTCAAACTAGATAAAATTCAGTTAAACTCACGAGTTGACTTTATAAGTTTACAATTTTTATGTTTTTAAATTATAAAATCATGTTAATATATTCATAAACTAGTTAAACAAGATAGGTATGTATTATATAAAAATTGATTCATAGGAACGATAGGATCTAGTTCAATGAAAAACAAAACTAAAAAAATAAAAATTAATATTAATACAAAAAAAACAAAAAAAATACTAAAAATAAATTGCCCTATTTTAAAATTTTTATATTGAGTATGATAATTTATGAATGTAGGTAAATTTAATTTCAAAAATTTATATTCAAAATATATTTAAATTAAATTATAATTATATTTTATATTTTAATTATTTAATCATACACTTTTAAAAATTATTTATTAATAGAAATAAATTTTTATGAGTTTATGATTTGAATTTATATTTTGAGTTTATATCTTTGTAATAAGTGTATTTAAACTCATAAATTTAATCTGTCTAATTTTTTTTTATTAGCTCCGAACGGAATAGAAAAAGAATGAAGGATTGCTGACATATATGATGGACGTTAACAGATAATATCGGCGGCTTAATTAATGCAATCGCTAATTGGGGCGTACATAGTCCAAACTTACTTGAATTTAAGTTAACTTAGGGAAAAAAAGATACCCCCCACTTCTCTTTAAATGCTGGTATATCAATGAGTAAACTGCACTGTGAAATTAAGAGAATACATGCGTGATCAGGAATAACTAAGTGAGATATCCACAAGTTAACCAGAGTGGTCAATTAAGACTAGCTTGATAAGCTTAAAAAAAAATTTAAGACCGAGCCACTACTTTAAAATATAAAATGATAACTTAGACTTAAGAGGTTAGTCCTTTTAAGCCTTTTTATATATTTTTAAAATTTTAATATTAAAAAAAATTAAATACTATACTAATTTTACAACCATAGCCTCATTTCACAGAGATAAGAAGAAATATATGAAAATTTTAATATTTTTTTCACTGTTGAGGCTCCATAAAAAAAAGAATGAAATTATATTAATGTTAATAACAATGAAAATTATCAAGATTTCACTTATGATAGTAGCAAAGTCTAATTGTTATAGGTGTTGATTTTGTGGTGATGTTTTTTATTAGACTTAAATTTATTTTTATAGATTTAATGTTATGTATAATAATTTTTTGAAATTTTAAATATGTTTTTTAAATTTTTAAATTAAAAAATAAAAATATATATAGAGCCAAGGCCTTAAGGGCTAGCCCTTTAGCCTTGAGAGACAAGGCTAGGTTTATCAAAATGGAGCCCGAAGGCATAATCGAGCTTTACAAAACTATCTTATTTAAGTCTTGACCCTTTAAGAGTTGACTTTTTAGAGTTAGGCCAATCCTAATTGATATTGTTATGGTAACATATCTTGTCACATTCTAGGGAGTATGGATCCTCTTTTTGAGATCACAATCAATGCTGTGGGATCTTCATTTAATTTTAAAAAAAAATTACATTAAAGTCTTACATAAAAAAATTAATTACTACAAGATTCATTGACAACCGAACTAAATTACTAGCAATCCTGTCCTGATTGTCACCAGCAATCTCGTCTTGATCGACACCAGTGCTCTGATCCTTGTCAACATAAGTTGTTAGGTCCCAATCCATGTCAGTAGTGTGGTCCTGGTTGTCACCAGCGATTCAATCCAAATCGACATTGACATTTCGATCTTGATCATCATCAGCAGTCTTGTTGCTAATTGTCACCTAGGTCCAGTGGACGTCGGCTGAAGGCAACAATGTCAAATTCAAGAAGTTAGCAAAATCAACAAATGAATATGAAGGTAGAGAGATACTTCCATTAAAATTTAAAATAATAGAAGTTTATAAAGAACTTAAAATTATAAAGGAATTGAGAAAAGATTTCGATTCAAATTTAAATCAAATTCATCCAAGCATGACACAAAATGACATTTTGCGATCTGGTCTGACCAGGGTAACAACGAAAAAGGTACATAGGACCACAGCAACAAATTAAATAAAGAATCCATTGAATTGAATATGCATAGCACTCTCTCAAAGTTTGTGGAAACAGCAATTGATAAGTCGGAATCACCCATCAATTCCCTTCTATTTTTATTTAATTTATCTAAATGCCATCACCTAATAACAGTTATGGCATTTAAATGAATAATAAAAGGACTCTGTACTATTCTTTTTTGTCGGCACTGGATTTTGTTAATTTGGACTACACTAAATATACTGCTTGACTCCGTTTCATCAAACCCCTCTACACAAACTAACTAACTTCAATCTTTTATCAAGAATTACATCTGAACAAAAAATTAACATATATATATATATATAATTGAAAAAGTTACCACTACAACAACAACAACAACAACAACAACAAGCCTTTATCCCACTAGGTGGGGTCGGCTACATGGATTGCAAGACGCCATTGTGCTCTATTATTTATCAAGCTTTTAGAAATATTATTAATTAAGAGATCGCGTTCAATAACTTCCAAGAGTGTTTTTTTAAGCCTCCCTCTACCTTTCTTAATCGAACTCAAAATTATATGTTCCACTCTTCTCACTGGTGTCTCCCTTGGTCTTCTTTGTACATGCCCAAACCATCTCAACCGATTTTCTACCACTACGATCTCAAAATCTTACTGCAATTTTTTTCGTTGTTTAAAAACAATGAGATTCATGATGTTTCTGCCCTTGAACTTCAAGAAGAGGCACCTTTTTAGTACGAAAATTAACGGCATGAGCTTCACGTACGTTATCTGGCAGCTTCTCAAGTGAAGGTGTTGGCACAGAACCAGCAGCTGAATCCTCTTCTGAACTCTTCAGCCATGACCATGGTCCTACTCACCTTATTATTTGATGCTTTATTAATGAGTGACGTTGATTAACAAAAGGCATGGGGGAAAAAATGAACGTAGGTCAATGGAGATATTGAAACCTTAGCCATTAACATTAGGAATAATGAATCATTTTTTCTTGTTGTGTGGACTAATTTGGATGGAGCCAGATCAGTCTTTTTTTAAGTGGAAACTCTATCATCAACACTAGTACATTCCCCAATCTTAAACTCGAGATTTTTGATCAAGTATACATCTCCCCTGCTAGGTTAATCAAACCAAGTTTCCAGTGGTAGGAATAATCAACCATTTACTTTAGGATATCTGCATCAAATCATACAAGACAGTACCAATTGGAATCAAAGGCCGATTCATAAACATCATTCATCGATCATCAGAACGTACACTACTCTATTTCTTTTACAATATCCATATCAATTTAAGACCCTCTCACTGCTACCAGCGGTTTTTCCATACATGTCTTTTCATAGTTTTGTATCATATGCATGCTTCAGTTATTTGATCACATATTAAGTGTTCGCTACTTTTTCTTTCTTGGGGGGGGGGGGGGGGAGCTATTATTACTTCCACGTACGAGTCTATAGGGTTATAACAAGCTACAACAGAGAATAACCTCTTATGGGTCTGATTTCCGGTTACAATAGAGCTCCTTTGCCGTCCTATTCTTAAGTCCATCCAGATAGCTCCGGAATATAAAAAAGCAAGAATATACACAACAGGGATCGTGTCCAAAAAGAAATCACGCTTATACAGTTGCCCTCATGTTTATTCTTGGACAAACTTCATTCTTCCATAGATGGATACTGGAAAACTGCAGTGGAAAATGTCAAGCTTGGCACTGGGAGTCAATGTACTCTTGCAAGAACTGGTAAAGCTCTTCTGCAACAGTAGCAGGATACTCCTCCTGTGGAAGAAGAGCACCTGGCACCTCCACAAACTTGCTCACTCCTCTGGCTCCTTTAAGAGCTTCCATCTCTGCCTTTGACCTCTTTGGAGATCCTTTGGTTGATACAACCAGAATTGGCGTCTTTCCTTCCAGAGCTGCAAAGAGTTCAAGGAACTCTTCACGAGATGTTACAGGGTCCAACTCCCCGGTCAAGAAAGCAGCAGGCAAGTACCGTGCTCCTTTTTGTTTTGTCAATGCATATCTGCTTTCAACAATTCCTGGAGTCACATTATCAGGGTTTGCATAAACATGGGATTTGTACTGTGATTCAATTGCCTTCTCATTGCTCACTAGCATGTTATACATCATCCAGCCGACTGCAGGGGCTTTCAAGGTGCCTCTTAAAAGTCCGTACCTGCAAATTTTAAGAGGAAGGGGAAAAGATACCGGTTATATGTAACATCCCAATTTAAATTTTAATAATTAATTTGGGTTAATAGAAATTTTGAAAAATATTTAGAGGTAAATAAATTTGTAGGAAATGATCATTAAATCTAACTTAGGATATAATTCTAAATTAAATTTTAAAAAAAAAATTAATTAAAAAATTATTATTAATTAATTAATTAAAAAATATTATTAAATTATTATTATAAAAAAAAGGATGGACAAATGTGATTTAGTTTACTTGTTGGGAGTATAAGGATGGACAAATGTGATTTAGCCTAATAGCATGTGGGAGGTAAAAATTTATCTGAAATGTTATAGTGTGTGAGTTGAAGCCAATTATAAAATATTTTATATTGAAATTATTGATATAAAAATATGTTGGGTGACTGTACCCAACTATGGTTGAGTTAAATTATTTAAAAAAAAAATTTTTGGTGTGTTACATTATACTATATTGTGAAACAAGTTAATATGCTAATGGCATGCATGGTTCTTTAAATTATATAGCCATGTAAAATGTACGTGCAAGCCAGCTACATATGGCAGAATAGGGAAGATATATGAATAGATACAGTGCATGCACCAATAGCAAGAGCTATAAACAAATAGATGTAATTATGGGGATGAATTTAAGCTGAGGTTATTGATATGCCAGATCACGGGTGTAATACTTTCTTTTCAGTAAAACATAAACCTACATGAAGGAAAATGGCAATTCCCCTTGAATTGAAGCAGAGACCTACCTTGTTTCCATGCTGGAATCTCGACCAAACACAATAGGAAGGGGCCCAGCCCAAGTTGGAGCAACAGCAGCTACAGCTTTGGGCTTCACCAAACCCTTTTTGGCTGCGCGGAGTACTATTGATGCTGCATGGCCTCCTCCGAATATTACCAAATCATTTTCTGGTTTAATAAGAATATTGTTAGCACACTGACTAAGCCATCCAACATATTAAAATATTCATTACTTATATATGGAAACATATATAACTGCTGGAGACTGAAATGGAAAACAAGCCCAAATAAGTTTGTCAAAAAATAGAAGAACCGTGTTACAAGAAAAAGTAATTGCTAATTGGATATAAGATACAGGAAAGGAATTATATGGCAGTTATGACTTTGCAACAGTCATTGATTTATTAATTTATGCATATAATGCAGGAATATAATGGACATAAGAATTTAGGTCAGGCGGAATTAAGATAATAAGAATCAGTCTGTATGAGCTCACTTCTATGCCTATGATTAAATAACCGGTTGGAAACAGTACACTTTATATGATTTTAGGACTTGAATTGACCAATCAGGGAATCCCTTGTTCAACTGTCTGCAAATGCCTTTTCACATCACACCAGACAAGATGATCATCCTTTCCAAGTTTTTGGTTTCACATACTCAATTTAAAAACCAGCCCTCAGGGCGCTTGTAATCATTCACAATATATCTTTTATCAGAATCAAAACCAATATTTTTGCCTGACTAAGTTCAAGCTTCCTGGCAAAGAACCCCATAAAGCGAAAGCAATTACATTTTAGTCCTCAAGCTTCTGAATTAATAATAGAAGACATATCCTAGTTCAGTTGTTCTTTTTTCTTTTTTGAGCATAGTTCAGTTGCTCTAAACAACAAAAATAAGTAAAGTATTAGGCAGATTTTTCAAATATGAGAATATCAATTTTATCTGCAATGTACTTGCAGTTTGATAATGTAAAATTAATACCAAACAGGTATATCAAATAATCTCACCAGAGACTCGGCTAGATGACACTTGATTGCTGTTGTTCTAAAAACATTACCAGGTTTGACATGGATATATATTGCAGATAACTCCACTCAAATTATTTCTATCGATGAAGTTAACTTTTTACACAATATGCATGCCTTCCAAAAACAGAAAACAATACCTAGCTGATCTTTTAATCATATAACATCAAACTAACACACTTTACAGTTATATTAAAAATAATATTTTCAGAGTACAAAAATAAAACCAACTTCATTCACAGGAAGTAAATTGGAATACAGGTTTTTGCAACATATGTGAAATGTCAGAGGAGCTAAATAAGATTCTTGAAACAGGAGAGCTGTGTAATTTCAGCAAACTGAGGAGTGTAATTTATTCTCAAGAAATATAGCTCAAAACTGCAAAGAACTACATCAGGGGAAAAATGAAAAAGGTTGTTCATAATAACCTGGTCGCGTAATCGGACTATTGGGTGCATTGATGAATTCAGCCAGAAAATTTTCTAACACATCAGAATTATAATCAATTTTTGGCCTATCGGAATATCCCAGACCAGGCCAATCAACAATAGTTGCTCGCCAATTGACTTTGCCATCACGTTGGACAATATCTCCAGCCACTGATCTCCATTCCTCAACAGTGCTTACATCAGAAATGGTAGGCATGATCAAGATGTTCTGGGAAGGCTCAGCATCATCCTTTGCATGCTCTTCATAATAAATATTGATATCATTGCCTTTGAATTTCCACTGCCAAGTATTAGTCTGAGAAAGAAAATGTCAAAATGAAAAGTATTGCTAAAGTGACAAGCAGATGCTACAACTTCTCACAGATTAGTTTACAAGAACTGCGCGTTCGCGTGTTTACATTTACCAGACGACACCCAACTGTTAATGAAGGGTAATAGAATTGCAACTGATTGAAACAATAAAAACTGAAATAGCATACTTCCTATTAAAAATGAAATTTCCACATAATAGACTTCTGAAGTTCTCTTGAACTTCCTTTCTCTACTTGGTGCAATTATTAATTTACAAGAAGACCACATTGTTCAGTCTAACACATCAGATATTTTAATAGTAGTTTCAAAACGCTAAAACCATAGCTACATCCAATCAAAATCATTATAGCCACTTCATTCTATTTATCTTCCATAGATGCAAACCAGCGTCGAGTTGAAAAGAGGAACACTACGAGTACCGTTAAAATTAGAGAGTCTCGTCTCACCTTTAACGGGGCTGGCTTGTCACTTATAGAGACATTGGAGTAATCAAGAGTAGTTGAAGCCCTAAGTTCAAGAGGCCTCTGGAAATTGATGGCACGCGAGAAACAGGATCTACGGATTTTGGTGGAAAGGTTGAAGCTTGGCGATGACGGAGCATAGAATGTAGCTGAGAGCGCCATGAATAATGTAGATATAGAAGATGGGTGATGGCGGAGACCGGAAGGGTAGAAGTTGAGGCATAAAGCTAAGAACAAGAGCAGAGAACCAGGGCAGACAATGCTGACTTCTAATTCAATGAGATTTCATTTCGGCATCGGGTTAAAATATCAACGACTCCGGCCAGTGGCTGGGTAGTTTTTAAACTGAAAATAATTCAAAATTATAAGTGTATTAACTATATTTAAACTCCACTGACCAAATTGCAGTTGTTCTTTTGCTCAAAAAAAAAAAATTGCAGTTGTTCTAAACTATTAAGGATTAATATATAATTTAAATTTTAAATTATGAATTTAAGGGTATTTTAAATTTTAAATTTTTAAAAGGTACATTATAAATTTTAAAGAATTAAAGTTGAAATAATTTTATCTTCACTGTTAAATTAAAATAAATATTTGCTAGTTTTTTTAAAAGTAAGGACTAATATGCAAGTTTTATCAAATTTTACTCTCCCTCTCTCTCTTACCCTCATATAGGAAAAATCTCACATTAAGGTTTATTTTCAAAAAACTAATTGAGGTTGTTTAAATTTAACAATATAAACTCATAATTTAAAGCTCAAATTATATATTAATTTAATTTTTAATTATGCTGATTGAATTTTGTTTTTTAAGTAAAGATTTGTTTGGTTTGATGGGAAAGGGGAAAAGGGACTTTAACGAAGGGAAGGGGAAGAGTTTTAATGAAGGGGGGAATAATAACTTATTTGATTTAGGAGGGGAGAGAAGGAAATATATATATACATAGACAAATTTATCCTTATATAAGCAAAATTGTTTTTTTCCTAATAAAACATGGTTATGAATATTTTAATATATAATTATAAGTATATAATAATCGATATTATATATATTGTCAATAATATATTTCAATAATAATTTATTCAAAGTTTATAAACAAGAAAATGTGAGTAAGCAATAAATTTATTAATATAAAATAAAAGAATAACAAAACATGATTAAAAAAATAAAAGAATGATAAAAATAAAATAAAAGGAGGGAGAAAAGATGAACATTTTTTTAATTATCATATTATAATATAAATATATTAGTTTAATATAATAAAATTATACTCCTCCCCCTCTTGTCCCCCCAAGAAGGTTTGGAGGGGAGGTCTTCCCCTCCATGTTTGCAGATCAAGCAAGGGGAGGAGAGCAAAATTCCTTCCCTCTTTTCAAACCAAACATACCTTTTGATTGATAATGAGAATGTTCTCTGCAATGTATAGCTTTATGTTCTCTAATGTGGTTTATATATTTGTATACCAGGCAACAAACATTACTAAATATATCAATCTAATTAGCTAAACGTGTTTTCATATTTTTAATACATAATGATTTAAGCTAATTCATTAAAGTTTCACAGCAATAAGTGATATATCTAAGTTGATTTTATCACAACACAAATTATAATTAAAAAATTTAAATGTTTCACTCTATTTTTAATTGGTCGCAGCAGTTTAAAAATTTGTAACTAGTGCGAAAAAGGTAAAAATGGAGATTATGTATATATATGGTACAGACGCACTGAGGCAATTTTTAAGATAAATGAAGAACGATAAAATATAACAGCGAAGGGACACCATTGCCAGAAAACCAATGTAAGATCTCGTTTCACTTGCTTCCCCCTCAGCAGAAAGTGAAGCATTGGAACAAAGATTTCAAGTTTCCAGAAGCACCCAATGCTGTCCACCAGTAAAGTTGGGAAATAAATTATGTCCGTTTCTGAGCAGTTTTGGGGCTGAGCTCTTGTCATTTCTTTTTTAAAAATCTTCAAGCTATTAATTGTTTGGAATATTTGTAGATTAGCATTAATTAATTATTAATTCTAATCAATATAATATTGTGATTATTAAGTAATTTTTATGTTGTTATTTTCACTATTTTAAAATGGATTATATAGACTATAATATGTTGGAATATTTAATTTAAATATATTGAAAAAAAAAACTCCAACACACAGAACATGCATGTATCAGCTATCCTGTCTAACATTGACAGGGTTATAATGATCATTAGTCTTGTACGCTTGTTCTCGTTGTATTTTAAGTGAGATGTCTTCTCTCTTGCGACAATACATTATTTCTTCACCAAATTTAGATTTGGAGCTTGCTTGCATCACGTCATGTTTCAAGGTAATTATCATAGTTAATTTACTTCATTCACACCTCAAAAGCTTTTATTGGAATTAACATTCTTCAATCAAGCTCATCAGTCATCAGCCAATACAAGGAATAGTGGCAGTCAAGGTAAATCGCCCATCCATCTCCAGTAATCTCTACAAGAGCAAAGCCCATCTTGGAATGAGTGGAAGAGACTTCTATTCCTCACAATTATCCCTACCTCATAAACTTAATCTAATATTGAGGCTTTTTTATGCTCTGTTCAACCCTTGATCTTATGTTGGCAACGTCCTTCCATTTTCCAGCAATGGCATATATGTTCGAGAAGAGAACATGTCTCATCTTATCACCAGAATTGTTAGGATCCAATTCAGCAAGCCATGATTTTGCCAGCTCTGCCAACTAAACCTAGCCATGACTACATTTCCACATTTTGAAGATGTATCTATCAGAGCATTATGTATGAATCCATGTAAAATCAACCCAAATATAATTCAAGCTAACTCAAATTACTCGTCTGTGGTATAACTACATTTCTATACCAAAAACAGGCAACAACAACAGCATTCCAAGTAACAGCGTTTGGTTGCCGCATTTCCTCAAACACCTTACCAGTAAAGGTCAGGTTCCCACATTCTAACATACATGCTAATCAGAGTTGTCCCTACGAAGATATGAGTGTTCAACCCAAAGCATGAAGGTTGACCGTGTAATTTCATCCAGATTTTAGATCGTTGCTATTAGAGACTCCTTTGAGAATAATGGAGAAAGAGAAACTATCCAGAAGGAAAGTGGATTGCGACCCATTTGGATGAAAAGTTGGAAAGAGTTGTGAGGAGATTCAGACTCAGCTGCAAGGAAATTTGTTAAAATTCATTGATGTTCTTAAAATCATTCCATCTTTTTGAAAATTCCGTTAATGAAATTCAATAATTGCTAACCCAATCTTATGTAATTGATATTATCACATTAATGGAGTGAACAGTACATACAAATACATATCCAAACGTGCATACATATGCCACCTGCTGCACACAGACACACACAAAAACAACATAATGAAAACAACAGATCAGGAAGAGAGATCACAATTCACTAGAGATACGGATATGGGAAACGGTTTTACTTGATATCATGGTAAAGCGATAAGAAAGCCGGCTTCTGAAGCGATGATTACTAGGCTGAAGTAGAAGTAAGAGCAGAGTGGCGAACAAATTGCAGAAATTGGACCACTTTTTCGTGAGGGGGGGCTGCCTCTTTCACCGCCTGGAGCTCAGTGACAGCCATTAGCCAAGAGAACAACACGGGGAACTTGTCAGCATCAAGAGACTTGATTCCCAGAACCTCTTCGTGCGACTTGTAGGCTCCAAACACCGTACAAAATATGATGTCAAGCACTCCTGCATTCTTCTCGTCTACATCTGGTTTGCCGTCTGGGAAATACTCCTTCATCGCCTTTTCCAGCAAACCCAGTTTCTCGTCCATGTTCTTTATCGCCTTTTGTTGTGCTTCTCCTTCACTTTTTAGAATTGCAATAGCCGTCTCGAATAGCTGCATCCAATCCAAACATACCCACAAAGAAACGCAGCCATTTATTAGATCAGTTCATTTATAGATGTTCAGAAGAAGTATGATCACTTTGGCATCTCAATGAGAAATTCTAGGAAATCTTACGAGACAATTTCAGGTTGAACCCGAGCAAAATCAATTTTTATTGGGTTATTAATTAGTGGATATATATATATTCAACTGTGAATGACCCCAGATGAAAATTACTTGATCCTGGATGAATTTAGACCAGAAGCGAGCTTGAGCTCTTTTGTAGGGATCCTCAGGCAGCAACTTGGGGCCATTTTTCCAGGTTTCATCGATGTACTCGAGGATCACGAGTGATTCAGAAATGGGGTTGCCGTTGTGGACGAGGACTGGCACTTTCTTGTACACAGGATTATACTTGAGAAGCAGCTCGCTTTTGTTGGTCAAATCTTCTTCGACGTAATCAAAAGGGATGTTCTTCAGCTTTAAGGCCAGCTCCACCCTCTTCACATAAGGGCTCATCCACATTCCATGCAGGACCACCTTTTGCTGCTCCATGATGTCCGATTTCTCTCTCAGGTTGCAAGTATTTTCCTGCACGGGGAAGATATTTATAGATTCCAAATGCTTTCGAACTTGCTCCCCAAGCTGTTGACTTGGCCCTTGTCCCATTACAATGGCCAACTAAGCTCAATTCCTTCCCATCCAAGCTAGGGTCCTTTGGCACTGGAAATATATTTTTTTGTCAAAATTTATATGAAAACGCCCTTTGAGGCTTAAAAGTCAACTTGCTGGCAAAATCAGTCCGAAATTTCACAACTACTGAAGTATTTAAAATTAAATGCTGATAAAATATAAGGAGAAGATGCGACGCATATCCTCTCACAACACGACAAGGTCGTAATTATCTTTTTTCCACAAATTAAATTTAACTGAGAAGATATAATGAGTTAATTTTTGAGATAATAAAACTTTTAGTGATTCAAATTTGTCTCAATTATTCAATTATTTATTTGGTCCTTCAAGTTTAATTTTTATTAATTTAGTTTCTTATATTTTCTTAAATTATTATGTGAGTATCAAGGTTGTTAAACTTGCGAGATTAAGTAAACTCAAAATAGAAATATAAACTTGTATTACAAACTCGGATTGTAAACTCATAAAAGTTTACCTCTATTAACAAATAGTCATTAAAATATGACAATAATTTAATTTAAATATATTAAAAATATAAATCATTGAAATTATACTCATCTATATTAATAAATTATGATATACAAGATATAAAAATTTTAAATTAGGGAAAATTATTTTTGGTATTTTTTTTATTAATATTAGTTTTTGCATCTCAAGTTTTTTTTCTTTGAACCAGGTTTTATAACTTTTATAAATTGAATTCTTTATAATACTCCCTTTAGGGTTGTGCATAATGCCCAATAGCTCAAAATGCTTGACCCGGCCTGAGAGAAAACTGCCCAACCCGAGCCTAAAAACACCTGCTCGAGATTGATTGAGCATGGTCGGGCTCAACCTGATCTTCGGGTTAGGCAGGGTTTAGGGTTAGAGTATCCAACCAATTGGCCCTGCTCGATTCGAGGTTTAATTTTTTAAAAAAAATTATTAATATATAATGTCATTTTGTAAATTGATGAGGGCATAAATGGAAAAAAAATATTAAAACCCTAAGACCTAAACTCAAATATGAAATTGAAACACCTGAACAAGACCATTTGTTTGATCTGCGCCTCTCTTATTCTTGTCTCTCTAGCTCCACCTCGTCTCATCTCCTATCTCTCTCGCTCGATTAGGGTAGGGTCGTCTCGTCCCCGATCGCTACTCCATCTTCGATCAAGTTCGTCTCCCTCTCTCAATCACCACTCTGTTTTGGTTAATTTCATCTCCCTCTCTTAGTCGCCACTCGCCACTGTCTCTTACTCTAGTTCGTCTCCAATCACCGCTGTCTCTCGTTTGAGCTCGTATCTGGCTTGTTTCTCTTTCTTTGTTAGATCTTTATTTTAGTTAAAATCGAAATTATCTATTGTCTGTTGGTTTTGTTGATGTTTTGGTTAATTCTTATTCTTTTATTTTAGTTTGTTTATGATTCAACCTTAAAGGAGGAAGAACAATGGATGATGGTGTAGGGATCAGGGAATTTGCTATCTCAAACTTTATAATTTATATTTAACTTGTTTAGTATTCATGGATGTATTGTTTTTCAATTGATTGGCTTCATTGAGGAAATCTCATTTTATTTATATGAATTAGATTTTATTTAAGTTTGTTTATTTCTTGTCTAAGTTGCTTTGAGTCCATTATTTGTTGTTGGACATGGTTTATTGACAACTATTATGGACCCAATTTTAATACATTTTGATTCAATAAAAGGCTTTCAAGTGCCCAAAAAAGGGCAGTACTGGACATCCAGCTTGAGGGCCTGATCCCTGCCCGACCTTGTCCGCCTGACCTTCCAAGAATGGGCATCTTTCAAGTAGGGTCGGGCTTTGGGCATGATTTTTTTGCCCAAACACAATCAGGGCAGGGCATCAAGTTAGGGGGTTGCCCTGCCCGATCCTACCCATGCACAGTCCTAACCCCCTTTGTTCAAAAATATAAAGTATTTTTAACTAAGTTTCACCCTCCAATAAAATAGTTACTTACTTTTCAACTAACCTTATCTTTTCATATTTACCCCTATTAAATACCCTACAATAACTATAAAGTCATTATCAATAAGGGTACTTTAAAAAAAGCAATGATTACACCTCAAAAGACTAAAAATGCCTTACATTTTTTAACATCTAACTCTTCAAAAAAATGTCTTACATTTTTGAATGGAGAAAGTATATACTTAACTTACTTAATTCAAAAAAAATTGGTAAGCTTAACAAATTTAGCCAAGCTTACATCTAATTTGAGTTTATGAATTAGATAACATGATTTTATAAGTTAGAAACTTAGAAACGGTAAACTCGAAAGTAAACTCTTGAGTTTAATCGAATTTATATTTAGTCTAAGTTTATGAGTGAGTTAACACAATTTTATAAGTTAAAAAATGTAAAAACATGAAACTCATAAAGTCAATTCGAGAGTTTGACAACTATGGTGAGTATTTTAAGTTTTAAAATACAAATTAACTTTCAAAATAATTTAATATATAAAGTATATTAATGACCATATATAACTAAATGAGAACAAATTAACCCCCAAATTAGCTTAATTTTTATTGATATAATCCCCTAGGAGTAACTATATTTTGTTCTCATGTTTTTTAAAATTTAAGAGTCTACTTTTTTCTATTAAAATAATATACTTCTTTTCATTAATCAACATGGGAGCCATCAATATTTTGCTATTCATGTCAACAAATTTGATCATGTAACCTCCTTTCTAAACAATAAGGACCAATCTAAATAGCAAGGACCTCAAAAGCTGAAATAAAATTAAAAACTAAATTAATAAAAATTAAATTTGAGGGATCAAATTGATAATTAAGATAAATTTAAAAGACTAAAAGTTACATTACTCCCTATTTTTTAAAATCATGTTCAAATTTTTTCCCTAGCCTATCTTGTAACACCCTTAAAAAAATTTCAAAATTAATTAGCTTAACCATGGTATAAAAGAGTTTACTATAATAAACAAAAGACAAACTCTTTTTAAACAATTTTTAAACTTGAAAACACTACTATGATAGTAAAAAATGAAACATAATTAATAAAAATAATATACCTTTTAAAAAGGAGTACCCTGATAAATACAAATACAATTATTTTTCTTTTTAAATGATTACCATAATAGAAAAGATTCTATCATAATAAAAAATGACAAACTAAATAAATAAATACTGCCATCATAAATAAAATTTAGCCTATTTAAATAATCATTTTAAAATTTGAAATTTCAAGCATTTATAAATGAAAATAAGTGTGAAAGGCTCAAATAATATCATATAAAATAAAAAAATGACAATAAAAAATGAAATAGAGATTTAGAAACCGTTATGCCATTCCAAAATGAACTTCTAAATATTTTGCAACATTTTTAACAATATATATATATATATATATATCCATTAATCTTGTCATACCAACACAAAATCAATAATAATTGGGCTAACGTCATCCAATACAAATTATATCAAGGAAACTAACATAAAAGCACTCAATATTTGGCTTGGGTTTGTACAAAATAACATCTTAAATTAATTTTAACTTGTCACATGTAATTAGGCTAAAATTATATTTTTTTCAACTTTATGCTCTCAAAAAGGGTCGGTCTTATAATAACAACCAAAATATATAACTCATTCACTTTCAAAATAAGCTGAATCCGTGGCCTTGCAATTATGCCATTTTAAATTATCTAAAATAACTCATAATTCACAATTTACCATTATCCAAAAGCATATCATTAATAGTAATAATTTGAAAGGCATGATTATTGCACAATTTATATATTTATTGACTAAACAAAAGCCCTAACATTTGCAATAGTACATCATCAAAGTAATAAAATTCAAATTGCCCAAAAGAGGAAGTAGATTCACACCATTAGGCTTTAAGGACTCCTTCGTATGCCACATTAGGTTCTGTTCCTAAAAATTGTTAACTACAATAATAAAACTCAAAAGTCTCAGTAACTAACACCACTTTATAATAATTTATGCAAACAGTTATATATGAGCTTGCTCAGTGGGGAAACAAGCAACACTAGTAAATTTCAAATATATGCAAGTGATATTATATTGTATGATAAACAATTATTCTTATCTCCTTTCATTATAACCTTAAGGTATAACCCTTAGTGCTAGATCACTTAGCTAAGTGTAGACTAACCTGAGCTCTTACAAGCTCTCTGATAAGGGTATCACATGGCAAAAAATACTGCAACAACAATAAGTCTTCTAATGCTTCCTACAATAGTCAAGCAACTAACATCAACAATGGCCAACTATACAATATCACAATCTTTATAGTTTTTCTCATTTACAAAAATATTATAATATAACATGTCATTTGGCAACAACATTTCAAACTACATATTCAAGATTCTAACATTTTCTCATCAATAAATATAACAACATAATTTATCAATAATTATTTCAACATATCTTCTCAATAATCACACAAATAACAATAAGTGATACTAATAACAAATTAAAGCATGGTTATCTTATAACTTTATTAATAAACTACTCCTTACAACTTATCTTCCACCATAATCTTCACAAACAATATAATATATACACGATATATTATTACAATATATTAGTTTCAATTATTGAAACCAATAAAGTAACTCTAATCAAAGAGTTAGAGGAAGTAGCTTATACTTTAAATCTTACTATTTATACTATTTCTAATGTTAGTATGACCAACCACAATTCTAACCCCTTTCTAACAAATTATAATTAATATCAATGAGCTATGATTAGCCTCTAAAACGTTTCTAGCATTACCATTTCTTCTTTTCCATACCATAAATTCGCATAAAAATGCTCCAAAAATCAAAAACTTAGTTTAGCCCTAAAATCATTATTCTATAGCCTTAACAATATGTTTTTAATCCCAAATTAAATAAACATTCAAATATCAATAAATCCTCTCATACTTTTAGATTAAACAAAAATCTGCCCGTAAGTGTTTAGGATTTAATTCATAAGTTTTAAATTCAAATTCCATCAATAA